GATAGAATTTTTGATTTGAAAAAGTTTGCTAGCGCTTAGTTTGGATTCTTGTGGTTGGATGAATGTCGTTCTTTTTTAATGATTGTCAGTCGACATAGTCTGTTGCTTTTTTTCTCATTATGTTATTCACTCATACCCTTGAAAAAGTTTGACTTACTTTGTTTTACTGCTGTAGTGTTGTAGATTATGTAACAATGAAGGACAACTCTGGGTGGAAGTGGCAGTGGGGGCGTGACTGTAGATTAAGAGAAGACTCATACCAATCCCCACTCATATCCGCACCATGTACTGAAAAAAAGTGATACCATGCGGAACCATTTTCGGAAAGAATTCAAAACCATCAAAAACGTTCCGTAAAAACCCGACATAGTCTCAAAATGATTGTCAAGAGCCCAGGAAACATTTTCAAAGGTTTCGTAGAAAACCTAAGAATCCTCAAAAAGGTTCCAATTTCGTTAGAAAGTTCGAAACCTTTTTCAATTTTTGTAACGGAGACGAAAACATTTTTGATTCCGTATGGTACCTTATGTTTTTTTTTCAGAGTACACTAGCATCCACACTCACACACTACGCTGACACATCACAACATCCACACCCACATCCTTCTCGACTTTGTTGAAAGACAACTATTCTTACATGGCGACATGTGTAGCTGGTCACAAGCACATGTTGCTTATATTCGACAAGGGCTATTCGTCAACGTAAACGGTTGTTTACGACGAAGTATGATAGACAGCGGTGATACTTTCTTCAGTCATCTCCAGTTGATGCATACGATATTATGCGATATTATCCAGCAAGCGTATGCAGCCACCGAATTGTTATGCTGGTCGTTAATGGCGACTTTTACAGTCATTGTAAACAATGACCGTAATTCATCGTAAAGCATAATTTTCAATTGCTGTAAACGGCTACCACAACCAGTTTACGTATACGACGTCTTACGACATTTTATCGGATTAACGTATACAGTCGCCGTATTACTAGGCTAGCCGTTAACGGCGACTTTTTAGAATCATTGTTTACGATGGCCGTAATTCGTCGTAAAGCATCGTTTACGATTGCTGTATGTAGCTGACGCAACCAACTGCCGTTATCCACCGTAATTGATTGGTATACGACCGTGTACGACCGAGCATGATTGATCTGGATATTAAAAGTGATAAAAAGTGACTTTTGGTTCACTTTTCTTTTACATGAGTGTGTGTTTGTCAAATTTAACTGGTGATGTTCAAAATTGGCCATCTAATGTAAAAACTTTTCTATTTCAATTCATTTCCATTTTATCTTTTCATTCATTCAGATGAGTCTTGTATTAACAGTAAATGTTGAAGCAGCTTTATACAATGAATATATGTTTAGTTGGGAACCACTTATTGAACCAACAATTATTTCTGAAGGTGCACGTATTTCACCATGGTGTATTGCATGCTCATTCGTATCCGTAAGCATATGGCTCAGGAAACTTTTTTCTAGTGTCTTTTCATTCAAATCCAGATATGCATTTGACGTTTTCTTTGTTTTTAATAACTACTTATAGCCCAGATTGAGTCCGATTGATCTGCTTCACAGAGAGATCCGATCGTGTCGAAATTCAAGACTCCTTCTTGATCCTTTGTTTTTTAAAGAATTGTCCCTTGTATAGATCACAAGGTACAGTTAAACATGTGTCGAAAAAGTCGAAAATAACCATTATGAATAAATATGGAAAGAAAATTTCATTTTTTTTTCATTCCATAGAACGATACATCATGTTGATTATATAAACATTAAGTTTAATAAAAAAACAAATATTGATATCCTATAGAACTATAATTTAATCTATTTCTTATTCCAGCAAGATGAAGAGGAAGAATATTATAGAAAAACTATTTATAACGTATGTTGCTAGTATTATTGGCGATGAATTTATTTCTAACTAAACTCAACTGATAAATTGAATATTTTATTCGAAAGATAAAATATGTCTGCATTTTTTTTGCTAATTTACAGACTCTTCCATCAGACCCGTTGTCAGAAATTTTTTAAGGGGAAGACCGAATCCAAATTTTTTTCTAAAGTTGCAAAGAACTTTCTCGTACGATTTTCAATATCGACACTTTCGTTCTTAAGAGAGGTTTTGCGAGGGTGTGGCTTACGATAAGATCGAAAGCTACACCCACATCCGACCTCGGCTGGCTCCAATATTTACGTTGGATTATTATGATTGATTATTGCTATGCCTGAATAGTATTTCGTTTGCTCAATATTTTCTAAGCGTAC